ATATATATATTCTGGAAAAACGGGATCACGACTTATATATAATTGTTATGATGTACGTGGGGGTATTTAAGTTAGGAAAATGACTTAGATGAGCATTTATAATAGATGTTCTTTGAAGAATAATAGTGTTTTTTTCTTATACATTTATGTTTATTTGTTTGATGATTATGTTATGCTATGATTTGTTATGGAAAAGTATATAATTTTGATTTATTCAATTTAGAATGGGAACACTATGATCAAGAATTAGGATGGGTACTTATCATTGGCAATATTGCTCGGCTTGGTGGATTTGAGCATGATTCTTATTTGAGTGAGGGAGCAAGTTAAATTGGATTGATGAGTCCCTTATGCACGGGTGAGTGACTTCTAGGCTTGGACAGGCTTGACGAGACGGACCTAATGATACCAAAATTTGTCCAATTTGAGCCAAATCAGGCCTCAACCAAGCCATTTAGAAGGTCAATTAGATGTCAAATCCAACGAGTTTATATTTGAATCGGGTGTCTCCATAAGAAGAATTTAATGAGCTTAAGATTGCTCAATTCTGACTTTGTTAGGGCACTGTTCATCGAATGTTGTGTGATTAAAGGAAACTCTCCGGATCGTCCAATCAAAGTGGTTCCTATTTCATAACTAATTACAGTCAGGACTCTATAAATAAGAGCCTCACCCTTCTTGAGGAGGGAGAAAAGTTCTAGGCTTAAGGAAGAGTTTGAAGCTTTGAGAACTAGTTGAAGTCCTACACCACTACTGTCGTTGTCGACCAACGCTAATCGCCGCCGATCACCTTCAGCTGACTCTCATTCCTTGCATCAAGTTCATCCACACTTCAATATTGTAATTTGAAAGACTTTGTAATAATTTCTCATCTGTGTGATGTGGGGTCTCTGTAATCTTCAGCTTATAGTGAATTTTTACGACTAGTTCAAGCTCCGTGGTTTTTTTTTCCTTTACGGGGTTTTCACGTAAGAACTTAATGTGTCACTATTGTTTTTTTTTTATTATTTGAGTATGTATTGAATTCTCTTGCAATGCTAAATCGATAATCCATCACCCTACCACTGCGAATTTTCCAGCACTCATCAAGTCTATCATTGGATGAGTTACTCTTAAAGTCTCTTATCAAGAGAGGCTACCTCGACTCTAGCTCAATAAGAGTCGTATTGTTTGATGCTAAGGCAGGTCTCTAGAACTAAATCAATCTTTCTATGCCTCGATAGGCTTGAGTTGCAATTCCTTCCAGTCTTGATTTTCTTTTATTATTTAGTCTATTCTTAGTCTTAAGTTGTGATTCTAAGCTAGAGGCAAGTAATTTTAATGCATTGTCTTAAATTTCAAATTTTCCAAAATTTTTATTTGATTTCATGGAAAAATACAATACAAGAAAAACTAGCCGTTAAGACACTAAGTAAAGTTAGGTAAACCCATCCAGCCAACAAGCAAAAGTTAGAGCTTGCAAACAAGGTTGGGATCGATGAACTGTCATCCGTAACAACTAAGTTTGAATAGCTAACAATGACAATTAAGTTATATTTGTATAAACCCCCATTTAATCTTGACTTTTGGCGAAAAAAGAATGATTCAAATACTTTCAAATACGAACACAGTTTACTCCATTTTACGAATGAGAAGTAATCCTGACTTTATAACGGAATATCTTGAAACCATGATAATATTACCAGGGTCTCTCTTAAAGCCTCACAATAATACTAGAGTTTATCATAAAACCATGAACAATATTATTTAGGAAGATTTAGATATACCCCATTCAATTTATATACATTTATATACCTAACACCTAAAATTCAATTTTTACATATATGCCATCTAACCTATGCATGAGAAGTTGTATTTCACGTTTTAAAGTTAAAATGGTTATATTTTTGGTGTGACATGAAAGGTTTGGGTGATATAAAACATTGGTGTGGGATATGTAAATATATAAGATTTGGGTGATATGTGTGTAAATACCCCCCTTTTTTTAAGCATTTTATAACAATTTCTTATTAACATTGCCAAGCTTATAAGAAACCTTGATATAAGGCATGCTTCACAATCCTTATTTGCAAATTAGGACAAGTTTTCATTATATTTTGCTCTCAAACTATTGTCTTTTTGCATTAAAAAACATTAAAACTACAAGAAGATTTCACAGAAAAAACCCAACTGAGAAACACAATTCAGAATCCAGATACTGATTAATTTATGCTTGTTCTTGACAGATAACAGAAAATGAGAGAGCACAAGCAAGCATAGCCACAACTGCATCTGCTCTCGAAACTCTTACGACATTCGACTCGAGAAACTACTTCAATGTCAACATGTTGGAAGCAGCTACCAACTATCCCAATCAAGACCAGACCACCCTTCACCTTGGGTATGATAGCTAAAGCTGCACCTAATTTAAGTAAATTGGACCATATTTCATAGTATGTTATTTAGCTTCCTAAATTATATAATAACACTGTAGTAATGCTTTTCCCAGTTCAACATTATCTGTCTATCATGAATCTGAGATCAGCTTTGCAGATGATAAATGCATGACTATTACATTTCTGTCAAAAATTTGTGAACAGCTTGCTAGAAATATGATCTCAGATGCTGTATGTAATTGAGATGAGGAGAATTGTCGTTGCAAGAATGGATATTTTTTCAGGATGGTTTATGGAAAAATGTTATGTTGAACCAAGCTAGGGAATTATGATGCCTTTTTGTCATTGAACTTGTTGGCTTCTTTACTTTCTTAGCATTATCACAATTTTTGTTTGGCAATAGCTTTATAAATTTTTTATATTGAGAAATAATATTTTTTTAAACTAGATATATTCAATATGTTTGCTATAAGAAAGTTAGCATTTTTAAGTTTTCCAAAAGAGAAAATATCTAAAATATTCACAATATTTTTTAAAACTAATATATGTTTGCATGGTAGTCCTACAATGACTAGTAAATAGTTTTAGTCGTTTGAAATAGGTAGTTAGTAATGAGTTTTTATCGAGACCGTGAATAAGTGAGAGAGATGAGGAGGAAGATGAGTCGAGCATGGTTGAAATTTTATTGTATAGACATAAAATGACTATTCAGGCCGGCACTAATCAAATGGTTTAGATTATTCCAACTGTTGTAAATCAAAAGATTCATGTTATTATGAATCTAACAGTTCAAAGATCACCACTTATCAGATGTATTCCCAAAAAAAGGAATCATACCAAGGTTTAGCACTCCAAGCCCAATAATGGAGGTCGAGGGCTCAAAGCCAAACAATCGAGGTCAAGTGCCCACAATTTAGTAATCAGAACAGAGTACTTTGATGGTGGGTAGTCAAAGCCAAGTATTGGAAGCCGAATGACTTGAAAGTTATGGGGCGTAAATTCAATTTCTTGATAGTATCAAAATGAATATCTTCATAAAGGATTTTCAATTCTATTTTTTTCTCCCTCCAATCTCACTAATCCACCAACTAGACATCTTGTATTTATATACCTAAAATTGTAAGATCCATCCTTAGCATCTCAACATTTCAACCGAATGTTAATTCCTCGAGAATGTACAAGACCCTCTATGATTATGATTCATAAATCATTGAGCAACTCATATATAGATAGACAGATAGATAGATAGATAGATAGATAGATAGATAGATATATATATATATATATATTTATTTAATTTAAAACTTATCATAAAATCATTTCTAATAAAGATCTGCCCCAACCAGTTTATAATTCAATGAATAACAACAAACTCGGGACAACATCCTCACCAACAATCGGATGAAATTGAAAACTCTACAATACCCTAATAAACCAGAGCTCACAAAACTAGAGAGTGGGAACTCTCTCCGCAGATCCCGATATAACGGTGAGCAAATTATTCCCAAATGGATCGCTGAGATGCTTGGCGAGATTCTCCACGGGCCCTTCGCCGGTCACATAAGCCTGAATGAAGAACCCGAGCATGGCGAACATGGCCAAACGCCCGTTCTTGATCTCCTTCACCTTCAGCAGAGCGGCCTGATCCGGATCGTTCGCCAGACCTAGAGGATCAAAGGGTCCGCCGGGGTGTAGCTTGTCTTCCAGATTCTGTGTCGCGCATTTTTTCATTAGGTTAAGATATATAGTTGATCAGGGGTGCGAGTTATGCGAGAAGAAGATCGATTCTGTTCTGTATATATAGTTACTTACGAGGCCGTTGGTGATTCTGTAATACTCTGCACCGCCGACGAGGACGACCTCCGCGATGACGGCGAGGACTAGGTTGATCGGAATGTTCTTGCCGAAGTAGTTGAGTGTGTTACCGTCGAGGAGAAGAGCGCCGGTCTGTGTATATTGGTATAAAAAACTAAGTTAAAATAAGAAGATATTTGATATAAAAAAAATGTAAAATACTGAACTGAAGATTTAAGGCCTTTATTAGACTTGAATCTCACCAAAAGGCCACTCATTATTATCAATTAGCCCACTAAATACTTGGCTGGAGAATCAAGACCTAAGAGATGATTTTTATAATTAATTTTAAGATGAATATATCATATGATTAATCCTTAATTTTACTGATTACAAAACACATCTTCAACAGATTTAAGCCTAAAAGTATCATAACCTAAAATTCTTCACAGCTAGTTTTTATATTTGCTCATGGATAGCATATAAATTTCTAAGAAACAACGCAATTAGAGATATATAGATCTTCATGGTTGAAATGAAGGTAACAACAAAAAAAAAAGATTAATAATTAGAGAAAAAATGAATATAAAATCCTTCAATATTATAGCAGCTTTAATTTATGAATAAAAAATTGTTTAACAACCAACAAAAAAAAATTAAGCATTATTTAAAAATAAATTTATTTATATTACCTTGAACCATACTGCTTCTGGGCCACAATTTGCTCCGAATTTGTTAAAGGCCTCCGGTATGATGAAGCCTGCAGCCCCAAGCATCGCCCACCTTGCGTGGATGAGTTCAAAAGCTTGGTATCTGCACCAGTATTATTTCATTTTTTTAATTATAAATAAATAAATATGCGCACGCATATATATATATATATA